GTCTCTACGGCTCTACGGTGGTGGTCTTCTAGTAGGAGTAGGCCAGATTCGCGTTGCCCGTATGGCCGCGAGGTCACGGGCCGGGTCGCCCATGGCCCATGGCAAATGCCTCCTAAACAGGGCCTTAAGTGCCCGAAAGCAGAACGGGCGCTCGCGCGTGGTGCCAGATGGGCCGCAGCCCACGGGAACTCCTATTCGCCGCGTTCTGCGGCAAGTAGTCGTCCCTTCGCACAGGGCGCGCGGCAACTGGGCCGGCCCATTCGAGTTGAACTGAAGCGAGTTGTCTGGCGAAAAATGGACAAAAATAATAAGACACGGGAGCTGGGATTCGAACTCTAGACCAGCAGCTTGTGCATGTATTGAGTTAACCAGTACACCAGGAGAATCTTCTTAACATACTGAGCAAAAGTAACTTAAAAGAACTTTCTTCAGTGGCGAAAACTGAACATTACTTAGAAAATTGCACACAATGTTAGAAATTTCGAACGTTTTATTGAAGTTACGAAAAATTAAGAAACGCGAATAAATTTATAAATTTCTCATCATCTTTTTAAACTACGAAGAATATTTCAAATTCTGGAACATTTTTCAAATTTGTAAACAAAACTCAAAAAAATGGAACATCTTCCAAAATTTTGAACAATTCATTTAAAACTCGATCATTTTCCAAATAACATTTTTGGAAACATGAACATTTCCCAGAACATTTTTTGAAAACTTATTTTTTTTGGAATTGGTGAACAAAATTTTAAAATGGGGACAACTTTTTAAATTCAGAACAAGTTTTTTTAACTGAGAACAATTTTGAAAAGGAGAACATTTTTTATATACATGACCAAACAGTTGAAATGGAAAAAAATTTCTAATGCTTCAAACATTTTTTGAAAGTGCGAACATTTTTTATATAGGTGAACATTTTTCGGCTGCGTAAACTGAACATGATTTGAAAAACTAAGAACATTTTTTGAAAAATTTGAAAAACAAGAACATTTTTCATACATGAACAAAAATTTGAAAATAAGAACATTTTTTGAAATTTGTGAACAATTTTTTTGGAATTGGTGAACAAAATTTTAAAATGGGGACAACTTTTTAAATTCAGAACAATTTTTTTTAACTGAGAACAATTTTGAAAAGGAGAACATTTTTTATATACATGACCAAACAGTTGAAACGGAAACTTTTTTCTAGTGCTTCGAACATTTTTTGAAAGTGCGAACATTTTTTATATAGGTGAACATTTTTCAGCTGCGTAAACTGAACATGATTTGAAAAATAAGAACATTTTTTGAAAAATTTGAAAAACAAGAACATTTTTTAATACATGAACAAAAATTTGAAAAATAAGAACATTTTTTGAAATTTTTGAACATTTTTTGAAAATAGGCATTTTTTTAAATCCATGCCATTAATTTTCAAATTTCTCAAAAATGAACAAAAGTAATTTGAACAATTTTTGAAAAAACAGGAACATTTTCTGAAAATTCGGAACAAAAATTTGAAAGCAGGAACATTTTTTGAATTTATGAACAAATTTTGTGAAATGGGTACATTTTTTGAATTTTTGAACAAAATCTGAAAAACAGGAAAAAAATTGAAATTCGGATTTTTTTTGAAAATAAACTTGAAAAGAAAAAAAGGAAAAGAAAAAAGAAACAGAAAAAAAGAGAAAAGAAAAAGAAGAGAAATAGAAAAACTAAAAACGAAAAAGAAACTGAAAAAGAAAAAGCCGGTTCAGGAACCTTCTAGAAGGTTCCCAAAACCGGAAAAAACCAGCTGAAAACATCATAGAAGGTTCCAAAAACCGGGGTGTGCTGTAACGCTAAACGGGCCGGCCCACTCGGTCGCTCCCTCGCACCTGCCCTGTGCGAAGCGTCGACTACTTGCCGCAATGAGCGGCAAGTAGGATTTTCCGCAGCCCACCGAGGAGCATCACCACCGGACCACTCAGTGTCCGCCCTAAAGAGAGCTCCTCCTCGGCGCTCGTTGCGCCGCCTAGCGAAAACAGCGCTCACGACGCGCTCGAATGGGCCGGCCCAACAGCGCGAGGTTGCGCCCCGCTCGCTCGCCTGTTTCTATCGATCACCGTGGCGCTCGAGAACGCTTTGCTCCATCGCTCGATAGGTTCAGTTGACCTCGTTGATCAATTTAGTTGACTGCGTTGACCTTCTCTTTAAAAAAAGGTAATCTCTTTAACAAAACTTCATCAATTTTTGGAAAAAGTTCATCTATTTGAAAAAAAGTTCATCAATTTTGAGAAAAGTTCACCGAATCGAAAAAAAGTTCATCGAATTTGAGAAAAGTTCACCGAATCAGTGGAGTTTAAAAAACATTTCATGAATTTGACAAAGTTCATCAATTCTAAAAAAGTTCATCAATTTTGAACATAAAAATTGAAAAGGTTGATCGAATTTGAAAAAAGATCATCGCATTTGAAAAAAAGTTCATCGGATTTGAAAAAAGTTCATCGGATTAGAAAAAAGGTTCGCCGAATTAGAAAAAAGTTCACTGGTTTTGAAAAAAGTTCACGAAATTTCAAAATAAGTTCATCGAATTTTTAAATGGTTCATCCGATGTGAAAAAAGTTCATCGGATTTGAAAAAAGTTCATCGGATTAGAAAAAAGGTTCGCCGAATTAGAAAAAAGTTCACTGGTTTTGAAAAAAGTTCTTCGAATTTGAAAAAAGTTCATTGGTTTTGAAAAAAGTTCACCAAATTTCAAAATAAGTTCATCGAATTTTTAATTGGTTCATCCGATTTGAAAAAAAGTTCATCAAGTTTTTCACAAACTCATCAAATTCGAGAAAAACTCCATTGATTTTGTAGAGGAAAAACTCATGAAGAAAGAAAAGTTTCACGAATTTGAAAAAAGAAAAGAAGAAGAAGAAAGAAAACCTGTACATAATCACACCAACTGAACTGCCCTGGTTGTTGTCGCGTCGCGCTCGGAACTCGCCCGTCACGGTTCGAAACCCAGCTCTCGCGGAGTTTTAGCTGTTTAGAAAACAAAAAAAAAAATCGAAAATGGGCCGGCCCAATGTGACAAGGGGGGGTATGCGCCCGTTAGTAGAAACAACTGTACCGGGCGCTTGAGTTTTTGCTGTTTAGAAAACGAAAAAAAAATCGAAAATGGGCCGGCCCAGTGTGACAAGGGGGGGTATGCGCCCGTTAGTAGAAACAACTGTAGCGGGCGCTTAAGGCGCCGAATAGGAACCAGCCGTTTAGATGGCGATTTGTCTCAAAAAAAAAGATGGCGATGGCCCGACAAGCACCGAGAAAACAAAGATATATCAGGACACAGCACCTAAAAAAATGGGACGATATATCAGGACACAGAACCAAATCTTTTGCAGCATCTGGATACATACATGTACATGTGCAGTATTAAGTTTGATATTTTGCCATGATGCTTTGAGGTGTTAAACAATGTCAACACCGCATACATGAGATGAAATTAGAGCCCAACCCCTCAAAGAAACCAAAAGATCAAAGGAGAAGCTCTTGTTATTTCCCTACCTAATATCAGGTTTCAAGTCCTTCCTGGTAAGAACAGACACAGTTCCCCCTTCTATACAACCTAGCAACGATGAAAACGAAACAGATCATAATGGCTTTCTGTCTGCTCTTGTCAGGCCCTGACTTGTGTGTAATGCGCTTGTTATCACCCCATGACCTGATGATGGTTACATGGACTGGGCTTTTTTAACATTTGCCGTCCGGTTGCTCAGGCTGACAAGGTGGTGAAGCCACACGACCAACTCGAGTATGTAAGCCTCTGTCCTTGCCTTGTCGGCGTGGTAGAGCGTCTCGATCACGTCCGGTCGACCAGGTCCTCTTCCAACTCGCTCGGTCCTGAATGACATGGTAAACAAACCACAGGAATTTCATCGGTAAGAAACCATTCTTATCTCTCTGCGAAATGTAATAGCTAGGACATTGGACAAATTCCCCTGCTTACCCTGATTTTGCCCATTCACTAAACCGCAAGAAGCCTCGGGCACTGAGATTCCACTCAAACGTGCAACCAAACAGACATCAGAAATAGCTATAATTCATTCAAACTGAAAAAGTTACTGAGAATTTTAAAACACTGGTCAGATGTGTGTGCGGTACCAGGTGGTATTGATGGCCATCGGAACAAGCCATTTCAGAGTTCTCTCCATCATTACCCTTATCTGATCAATAGTGAGCTGCAGTAGGAATTCACGATTTAGGATGTGAAATGTTTGTTGATGGGGGTGCTCTCTCTCTCTCTCTCTATCTACTTGTATTACCTCCCGAGGCATTGAGGAAGTTCTTAATTTATTTGGTAGAGCCAACCTGACCCTTGGTGGCAATCCTTGGTAAAGGGCATCTCTTGAATTTGCGGGTACATACCCTGACCGAGAAACCTTAAACAAACAAACAAACGAACAAAACTTAAATGTGCTGCCTCTCACATACTAGCTACTGGATATTGGTCTCTGGAAGTGTCATTTACACTTCTTTGTCCAGCCACTTGTCTTTGGTGGATTTTCCTTTTTTCTATAAAATATCCATTGACCTTTTACACTAAAGATATTACAGATGATGAACTAGAATTCACTGAGATGTCCTGCACACAACACCTCAAGAGAACTGCTACCCGGGTGTACAGTACTCTTCAAACACAGAGATTGTTGTTTTGAGAAATGTTCACTCAAACTTTCTAAACATTGGCATTGATATCTTTCTAAATATTTAAATTGAACACATGAAAACTATGTGTGTACGCATACATGTCTACGGAAGTTCTTTCATAATACTCCCTCCATCCCAAAAAACTTATCTTAGATTTGTCTATATACGGATGTATCCAGACACGTTTTAGTGTTAGATTCATCCGTATCTACATAAATCTAAGACAAACTTTTTGGGACGGAGGTAATATTATGATTTCATTGGGTTCCATGAATATCTTACAATAGATTTTGGCGCTAAAAGTTGTGCTATCAGGACATGTCATGTCTCTCTGTACTACTGAAACTGATACAGTAACATCGCAAAAGCAAGCGAATATCACCAGATTCTTGAGCTGAGTTCTCAAAAAGAACTGAAGAAACTTACAATGCCATAGATCTGTATGATAGTGTTTGCATAGTGCAATGCAAGTCCAGCAGGTCCTAGTCTCTGACAGTTCACAGCAGAACTCAGTTCACCTCCATCTACAAATGCATTAAAAGGATCAGTTGGAAAAAGGTGCGACTAATTCAACACAAAACAACCACGGGATTACCATAAGTTCCATATGAGACATTGATCTCAACATGTAAATACTGCACAATGTCAACAAGCTTCTCAACAACCTGTAACAGGGAATGTATGTTATAGGCAAATACATGACACACCAACAGATCATATGAAGTAAATTCTATAGGAAAAGTTGGTCACTTGTTCCAATGTCTTTGACCACAGAGATCTTTTCTTCAAGTTCTTCACGTAACTTCTTTGGGTCTTCAACTCGAGTTTCACAACTTGAATATTATCTCCTGCAAAGCTATCTGATCAGCGTAAAAACTGCGAACAGTAAAAGGTATGTTGCCATGACAACCATGCGCAGATGGATTTGGATTTAGAAAATATCAATGATAAGGTTTAAACAATGCCCAAGCTTTGACAGTCTGCATAAATATCATTTTTATGCATTGGACAGAGATGAAGAGGCAAAAGTATTTCCATTTTAAAAAATGTTGTTACACAAGAAACAGAAATACCTTTTTCAATCTTATTTGAACTTCCACTTCCCTTTAGTTGACAGCGGTAATCTTGCTCAAATCTATCCAAGGCATGTAACTCATGATATAAATCCTGGAAAAAGAAGGTCAAAACCAGATAATCTATTTGCTCAAATGATATCTTGAGAGTAGAGAACAATGCTTACAGTTGTACGTTGAACAAGAGCCATCAGCTTTTGCATCTCCATTGTGGCTGTTTCTTTCAGCTGCTTCTGGGGTACACTTTCTGATTCTAGTCTGGACACCAAGGGGATAAATATCATTCAAGTCAAACAACATGTATGACCCTATGCTGCTCGTCAAAGCAGGAAGTTTCTTACTTTACAAAATAGCGGTCCAGATTATGCCATTGAGGATTTTTACAACGGTTGCCAAACCTGACAATCTCTTGCGAAAATACTTTCAGCTCTTCCCTGGAAACATTAGACAGGGTTCACAAAACAGTCACAGTAAGAGTAACCAGAAAGTCAGTCACAGTGGCCACTGAGGACAAATGTACAATCTACCTTCTGTCATTAGCTACAATCCGCATCAACTCGCCCATGTCACTGGAAATCAAATTCTGCACGCCTTCAGAAGGAAGCACCACCTGTTTGAAGTATGTGACAGAGTCTTCCGAGAGAGATTGCATAACACTTGCGCCTTTCAGTATTGTGTTAGCAACCTCAAAAGCTAGAATTGATATCTGAGTCCCTTTGGTCGTCCTAGAAATAAAACCACCATCCGGGCTTAAGGTTGTCATCAGGCAGCCTAGTGTGTCTAGAATTTCCACTGCTCTCCCATACCCGGCCATGCCGGCTGCGCCAAGCCCTGAACCTGTTCTAGAAACCTGCTAACAAAGGCGAAGCATTTCAGGACATACTACATTTGAATAATGTGATTAAACTAAACGTTATACGAGCTAGGTGCAAGTCGTTCTCCTGCATTAGGAAAAATCTGCACAATTCAATCTTTTTTCTAAGATTTAACTCTAATCATTTGAGTGTATCCTAAGGTCATTCCAATTACGAACATAGCTGAATAAACAGAAAAAATTACTGTGTGGTAACATTTATGAATTCAGCTAAAAATGGCTCTGCGAAAGAAAAGAAAAACATTCCGTGCTTATGTACCACTTGCCTTGCTTGTTCCATTGTTTCCAGATGTGTCTTTCGTCGACTGAGATGCCGCCATTTTCCCAGACACAGATGTCTCCGCTGATGTTGATTCGTGCAGCTTACTACTTCCGGAAATAAAGAAGCCATCATCCTTGGGGGACAAGATAAAGGATCGGCTCGTCGACTCCATATTATCTCTGACTTTAGCTTCCCAAACACAGCTGACCTCCTGTTTGTGTGCAAGGTCTATTGAGTCAGGTAACTCGGTGATACCGCCCGCTGGATCATCGAACTCAACATCGGCGACGCCAATACTCCTTCTTGATTTCAACACTGCAAAAGAACAGACGTCACACATGAACAAGCTGTTTTCAGTAGCTAGTCTACTCCTACCTAGTAAGACACTGCAAAGCACCAGCAACGAATTACGAAGAGGCGGTAGACATACTGTAGCAACCGTTGCAGTCCATCCACGGGAAGCCCGTGCCCACAACCGCAAGCACGGCATGGAGGGACGCTGCTCCGGCGAGACCGGCAGACGCCGCCCGCTCGCTGAAGAAAGCGTGAATTCTCCGGATTTCCGCTCCAGCCCCGGCGGCGTGCGGAAGGTGCTCGACGAAATGCGCGAGTCAACGGGGGCGGGAAAAGGAGAGCCTCTCCCCAGCAAGAAACCAAAGAGAGCTCGCAAGGACGACCAGACTAAACAAGTGAGAGATCGAGAGGGGAAGGCGAGCTCGGCGGAAGCTCGGGGATGTAGCTGGGAGGGGAGGGGAGGGGAGCATGGGGGACGGGAGGCGCGGCTTTTTCAGGCCGGATTTGTTTTTGCTCGCCGCGGCAAACGAGACATGGGAGACGCAGACAGGCCACCGTTTCTGGCACAAAAGAATTGGGCGAGACGAAGGCGAGAGTCAGCGCTCTGACCCCGTCGCTCTCTCTTGAGCGGGCGCCCGTGCGCGCCTCGGGATCTCCGTATGGTCTGATCGGTCCATCGATCGATCGCCGGACGCGGCCGGCACGAGGATGCGATCCTGCGGTGCGGTGGTTGGGGCTGGCCTTGCCTGCCGGCCGGCCCCGGGTAGCGTCCGAATGTGGATCGCTTCCCTGCTCACCGGCTGTCTGCCTGCTCATGGTTCTTCCAAGTGCCGGGCACGTTCGTGCACAATATTGTTTTCTTCTGGCAGACTATTCGTTCACGTTGAGAAAAGGAGCATGTGCGAGATGTTTATTCCGGTCTTTTCTCACAATTTATCCACTTTATTTTGGGCAATCCAATTCGGCTCTTGGGAGCATATGCTCCTGCCCATCAAAAATGTTTTTCTTTCAAATGTCAATTTTTTTTGAAGAAAAATAGATGTGATCATTGTCACACCAAAACGCTACATACAAATTTTAGGAGGAAAGCTTAAGTTTTTTTATCTGTGCAAAAAATAGCAAGTCAAACGGCAAATGTTACACTTCTTTTTGTTTTTTTCACCAAAAGCACTGTCATCCCGTTTCGCATGAAAATTGACAAGCACACTTGTTACACTAACAAGAATATCTAGGAAAAATTTCAGAATTTTTAAATTTTATTTACTATTTGTTTTGAATTTACTATTCAATAGGAAGCATATGCACCCAAGAGCCAAAACGTCTTTATTTTGGGAAAATATACTTTTGTCCAGCCGGGCAATCAAACGTGAAACATTCGCCACGTCGTCCGCGCCACATGCCATTTGCAATGTGGCCCTTATCAGCGACGAACACAGAAATAAAATGGAGGATGTGCATGCTAAATTTTATTTTCTACCTTTTTTGAGGTGATTTTATTTTCTACCTAATCCAAGGGTCATACAATATATGACAAAAGAATAATATAAACATAGCTCAGTATGAAGTCTCAGAACATTCTAGTTCAATGTTAAGCAATGACATCAATTGTATATGAGCACGAAGAAATTCCACAATTCAATTGCATTAATCAATTCTAACCTATAAGGTTCCTAGCCAACTTGGCTTCATGAGGCTCCCTTGCGATTGGGCTTCGTTGGCCGTTGGATCGCGGTGAAACTTGTCTTCATGGTATATATATACACTAAGCAGTAAGCAATGGTATCGGTTCTACCTTGTTGTCTTGCGGAAGTGGTGATGGACTGATGCCTCGGGGGTTGGGGATGCAGCTCGCCGATGATGTGATGACTGCCTGACGGCCTGAGTCTAGTGAAGAGCAACTGAGCCCGATGCATTGAGTGACGGAGCGTGTCTCCCGGTCCCGAACCGAGTGACTTGGCCAGTGGCGCCCTGGCAGGTCGATGCGCTGCTGGAGCTCGCAACAAGGTGAGGGAGTGACGGTGTCCTGGACTAGGGGGTGCTAACCACGTCGGCCTGCCAGTCATGGGCCGGGCCGAAGACCCCCAGGCAACCAGAGAATGGGCCATGTTTACCACGACCCATGGCGTACTAAAGATGGAATCGTCTAAAGACTAGGCGCACACTTCAAGACATATTCAAATCATTGGCAAGCTTATCCCTAGATGTAACCGACCTACATATAACCCTAGGTACCCCCAGTCTCTATATAAGTCAAGGGGTTTAGTCCATAGGGTAGAGCTTAGAGACATTCACATACGATCTCGAGGTAGATTATCATGTAATTTGAACCCCATCACATTAAATACAATCAAAGCAGGACGTAGGGTTTTACCTCTTCGAGAGGGCCTGAACGTGGGTAAACATCGCATCCCTCTTCTGTCCTATTACTATCAAGCTAAGATCCACAACTCGAGACCCCCTACTCGAGATCCGTCAGATTCAACATCGACATGCATGGCCCATATAGGTCCCGTTGTGTGGTCAAAGCAACTCGATGGGCCATCTTCGGATCGATGACAACATTGGCTGTGGGAAGACCTTCTTCCCCGGGCAAATTTTTGTCTTCGGCAGCATCACACTCTATGCCGATGCGACTGGCCACCTCACCAGATCAAGAATTTCGCTCCAGGTCAGACCATCAGGTTTGGAAACGTGGAATACACTTCGGATACCCATGGCTAACTCGCATTCTTGAGTTGGGTGTAAAACCAATCCGAGGACATCACCGACGCCGTCAAGTCGATCTCGGATTCAATGTTGGAATAGGACCATGACGCTGGTCACACATCGGATCTTCCTTCAAGCTCAAAGCAGAACACTGCCTCGTTGGATTAACGTGAAGTTTGGCCAACAAATCCCTAAGGCCATGTCATATGGGACCTCGGACAAGCTTTAGCTAAGCCCAGTCTTCGTTCAAGATATGGGTGAGGCCGACATGGCACTTCTGAACAAGAACTTAGATCAGGTTCAGAGCCTTGCAATCTCGGACAATCAAACCTTGGTTTACGATTGGATCTGGGACAAATATGGATATATTGGAATTTTAAAACCACCCCACCCAGCTAGTCGCTAACCGTCGAGAATTTAACCGACTTCCTAGCATACATTAATAACCCACAAGTATAGGGGATACACGACAGTCTTCGAGGGTAGTATTTCACCCAATTTATTGATTCGACACAAGGGGAGCCAAAGAATATTTATTAGCCTTAGCCGTTGAGTTGTTAGTTCAACCACACCTGGAAAGTTGTTTCTCTATGGCAAAGTGTTTAGTAGTACAATAGTTTGATAGTTCTGATAGTAACAACAACGGTAACAATAGTAGCGGTAACGGGAACAGTAGCAGTTTTGTAGTGATTGTAACAGCAACGGCAACAGTAGTATCTTAGCAAAAATCAATATGAGCAAAGCGTAGGCATTGGATCAGCGATGGATATTTGTGTGGATGACATTCATCATGTAACAGTCACAACCTAGAGCGATAAACAATAGCTCCAATTCATCAATTCAATGTAGGCATGTATTCTGTATATAGTCAAGCGTGCTTATAATAAGAAATTGTATGACACCTTTTGTCCTACCCTCCCGTGGCAGCGGGGTTGTTTGTGCATATTTCTCCCTTAGTGGTCTTGGTGATTGAGACAATAACTTTGCAGACTAATCATGTGCATTGTGTTGGGGAATGTAGCCTGCAATTTCAAAAATTTCCTACGCTCACGCAAGATCTATCTAGGATATGCATAACAACGAGAGGGGGAAAGTGTGTCTACGAGCCCTCATACACCGAAAGCGGAAGCGTTTGACAACGCGGTTGATGTAATCGTACACCTTCACGATCCGTCTCGATCAAGTATCGAAAGTACGGCACCTCCGGTTTCAGCACATGTTCAGCTCGATGACGCCCTCGCCTTGTTGATACAGCAAGAGGGGCGAAGTAGTAGATGAGTTCCAGCAGCACGACGATGTGGTGACGGTGTTGATGAAGAACAATCTCTGCAGGGCTTCGCCAAGCACAATGGAAACTATGACGGAGGATAAACTAGAGGGACGGGGTTGCCGGCACACAGCTTGGTGTTTCTTGATCTGTCTTGGGAGCTAGCCCTACCCCTCTATTTATATGTTGAGCCCTGGGGTCGAAACTTGGAGTAAAAGCCTCCTCAAAGTCGGTTTTGCCCGAAAGGTAAGAGTCCTTCTCGGACTCCAGGGCTAGACGCCAGGGTTCCTTTTGCACTTTCCAAAAGCCTCATGGGCTTTCCCCTTTGGACCAAATAAAGTGTTCTCATACCCAAACATTTCGGGAAACATCCGGAACCCCCTTCCGGAGACCAAACACTATTATCCCATATATCAATCTTTACCTTCGGACCATTCCGGAGCTCCTTATCATGTCTGTGATTACATCCAGGACTCCGAACAACATTCGGTCACCAACATACATAACTCATATAATATTATATCGTCAATGGACGTTAAGCGTGCGGACCCTACGGGTTCGAGAACTATGTAGACATGACCAAGACACCTCTTTAGTCAATAACCAATAGCGGAACCTGGATGCTCATATTGGCTCCTACATATTCTACGAAGATATTTATCGGTCGAACCTTATGACAACATACGTTATTCCCTTTGTCATCGGTATGTTACTTGCCCGAGATTCGATTGTCGGTATCTTCATACCTAGTTCAATCTCGTTACCGACAAGTCTCCTTACTTGTTCCATAATACATCATCCCGCAACTAACTCATTAGTTACATTGCTTGCAAGGCTTCTTATGATGTGTATTACCGAGAGGGCCCAGAGATACCTCTCCGATACTAGGAGTGACAAATCCTAATCTTGATCTATGCCAACCCAACAATAACCTTCGGAGATACCTATAGAGCATCTTTATAATCACCCAGTTATGTTGGGACGTTTGATAGCACACAAGGCATTCCCCCGGTATCCGGGAGTTACATAATCTCATAGTTGAAGGAATATGTATTTGACATGAAGAAAGCAATAGCAATAAAACTGAACGATCAAAATGCTAAGCTAACGGATGGGTCTTGTCCATCACATCATTCTCCTAATGATGTGATCTCATTCATGAAATGACAACACATGTCTATGGTT